ATTGAACAAGCATCTATTTAACTACCCATCCTTAATGATGAATTACCTTCTTATTTAGTATGGTAGAACATAATCTCCATGGAGGCAAAGCTATTTTATAAGTAGGGAGAATGTCATGTTATTGCCCTGAAGAGCAGAGTCTTGCAGTAGGACTGAAATTTATTCCTTCCTTATCCAAGAAAAAAATTATTTGAAAAACACTATTTTTTCTGTCTTTCTCCCTCTATGTTCTTCTGCTCAGAAAGTACAGCTGTCCCTTGAAGTCCAATGTGCTTAGCATCTGCTTTTAATAAGTACAGGGAAGACCTTGCCCAGCCTTTTGCATGATGCTGCTTGATAAGCAGATAGTGAAATTATTTCAAGGAGGAAAACAAATTTTAGAGCTCTCTGTTTGAGTTTCACCCCTTTGGTCTGTGTATATAATGTCAGGAATGGAATTATCATTGGGTTAATGCAAAAGAATGTCTTATGGGGACAAACAACTGCCTGATAACAACAAATGTCTTTCTTCTGCTGCAGGGCAGGACAGAGTTCCTCTTTGGACTAATGCACTTCCTTGCTTCCTTACTGTCAGCATACTTAAGCAATCCAGGCTCTTTCAGCAGTTAGGCTCAGAGTAGGTAAAATACCACTGCACATTTATATGTGGAATAGTATCAAATGAGTACAGTAATTAATATGGCATCTGCTCCTGAGAACAGTTTCATTTCCTTCTGGTAGTGACAGGATATGTCCATTTTCCCCCCCTTTTTCAACCACAGCAGCATTCCAGGGATGTGCCATAATATCCTTTTTCTCCATCTGGTAATACTGCGTTAGATAATTGTCGCTCGCACTCATCTGGTCATCCTCTTTTTATAATAACATAAAAATTTCTTACCCCGTTTCTAGTTTTACTCCCTTTTGTAATTAGTAAATATGCTTAAAGCATATTAGGAGATTAGCATTATTACGTTTTATTTATGTGTGTGTTTTTTAAAGTGCTGCAGGACTTCTCCAAGCACAGAGAGTGGCTTTGCTTATGACTATGCACTGATTTACAAAATGTCACTGGTAGTACATCGCCCTGGGGAAGCAGATGATACATGAAATAAACCCATCCAGGTTCTGCACACAGACATCAAATTACAGCCTGCTGGCCAGGCTGCAGTGGTATCCATTAACATAT